TCTCATTCACCTGCCTTTGATGTGAGTAAAAACATTTCGCTAGTGCCAACCTTCACTGAGACTGAGGTGGATGCCTATTTTAGCGTATTTGAGCGCATTGCTACAGCGTTGCGGTGGCCGGCTGAAGTTTGGGCTCTGATGGTCACGTGCAAATTATTTGGAAAAGCTCAAGGAGCAGTTGCGGCTCTTACGTTGGAGGACAGTCTAGATTATGCCTTGGTGAAGGTTGCCATTCTCAGAGTATACGAACTCGTTCCCGGAGCTTACCGGCAAGAGTTTAGACGCCTTCGGAAGGGTCCTCACCAAACTCATGTGGAGTTGGCCAGAGTAAAAGGGATGTGGTTTGATAAGTGGATTGCCTTATGTAAAGCCACTGATTATTCTTCTCTGAGGGAATTGATTATGTTGGAGGAATTCAAGAAGTGTTTGCCTGACCGCATTGCTGAGTACGTAAATGAACAAAAGGTAGACTCTCTCTCTCCGCTGCTGCTGTGTTAGCCGATGAGTATGTGCTGACGTATGAATCTGTGTTTTCCCCGGTCTCTACTGAGAGATCACGCTGTGTAACAGCCGCACCATCTACTGAGCCGTTGAATGTGTCTAGCGTAGCAAGAGAGGAAAGAGAGTGCTACTATTGCCATCAGTTTGGACATGTCATCGCCAACTGCGCAGCTCTGAAGCGTAAAGAGCAGCGGCAGAATATGTCTCCGCCAAACGGTATTGGCCTGGTCACCCATACCCGTGCACAGGCGAGTAAAAGTGTTCCTGATGTCTCATTAACGGAGCCTGTGATTGTGCCTGTGCTTTCCGATGAAGCTGTGTCCGGGGAGAAGCCAGAAATTGTGGCTCCCCCTCCTCCTCGTGAGGATGTCGCGAGACCGGCGCAACCCGCCGGCTCAGACAAGCCTCTAGACTTCTCGACGCTCCCGGTAACCCGAGAGCGTCAGCTAGGTTATCGAATCCTGGTGTTGGTGTTAGCTCTACAACATGTTAAGATTCATGTTGGACCCAGCCATTGGCCAATTGTGATGTTTACATGTTAAGATTCCTTTATATTCTGTCCCAGCGTGTCCAAGCACAATCAGCGTGTCCTGCAATGGGCTCTGATTGTGCGGGACTACCACAGTAGACACCCGTCATTAAAGGGTTCAGAGAATGTGTTGGCCGATGCTTGTCCAGGTTGAGTTTGAGATGTTAGTGTGTGTTATTAGGAGTTCGTTAGTGTGTTAGGTTCACAAAACTGTGGGTTTGTGTCTTAAGGGGGGGGGGGCGGTGTTACGGTTGCTGTTTGTCTGCTCATTAATCTGCCTGAGTGTTTTCAGCTGTGTGTGTGTTTATGTAAATGAGCTGTGTGGTGGCGCCAACATCATTGGCTGCCCATCTCCTGGTCCGCCTCTGAAGATGGTGATTGGATTGACGTCGTCCAATCGCAGCGCACAGCCGGCGCACACCTGCTGGGGAGGAGTACAAAGGCTGCGGACTATCATTACATTACATTACATTACATTGCATTTAGCTGACGCTTTTATCCAAAGCGACTTACAATAAGTACATTCGACCAGGAAGACACAACCTTGAAGAAAACAGAATCATATAAGTACATCAGGTTTCATAGAGCCAAACATTTCAAGTGCTACTCAACTGGCTTTAGATAATCCAGTCCTTTATTAGTATAAAAGTGCTTCGTTAATAGTTCTAACGCTCGAAGTGGAGTCGAAAGAGATGAGTTTTCAGTTTGCGCCGGAAGATGTGCAAGCTATCTGCCGTCCTGATGTCAATGGGGAGCTCATTCCACCATCTTGGAGCCAGGACAGCAAACCCACGTGTTTTCGCCGATGGGAACTTGGGTCCCCCTCGCAGCGAGGGCGCAACGAGTCGTTTGGCTGATGCAGAGCGTAGTGCACGCGCTGGGGTGTACGGTTTAACCATGTCCTGGATATAGGAAGGGCCAGATCCATTCGCAGCACGGTAAGCAAGTACCAGTGTCTTGAAGTGGATTCTAGCAGTTACCGGAAGCCAGTGAAGGGAGCGGAGGAGCGGAGTGGTGTGGGAGAATTTAGGAAGATTGAAAACCAGACGAGCCGCTGCATTCTGGATGAGCTACAGAGGTCGGATGGCACATGCAGGTAGACCAGCCAGGAGGGAGTTGCAGTAGTCTAGGCGTGAGATGACGAGAGCCTGGACCAGAACCTGAGTCGCTTTCTGTGTCAGCTAGGGACGTATCCTCCTGATGTTGTAAAGCGTGTATCTGCAGCAACGGGTTGTAGCAGCGATGTTTGCAGTGAAGGACAGGTTGTTATCTAGGGTCACACCCAGATTCCTTGCAGTCTGAGTCGGGGAAACAACTGAGGTGCCGATGTTGATTGTCAGGTCAAGAGTTGGACAATCTTTTCCCGGGAGGAAGAGCAGCTCAGTCTTGTCAAGGTTGAGCTTGAGGTGGTGAGCAGACATCCACTGAGAGATGTCAGCTAGACAAGCAGAGATGCGTGCGACGACCTGGGTCTCTGAGCGGGGAAAGGACAGAATTAATTGGGTGTCGTCAGCGTAGCAGTGGTAAGAAAAACCATGCGGGCTAATGACTGATCCGAGCGAGTTTGTGTACAAGGAGAAGAGGAGGGGACCAAGAACAGAGCCCTGAGGGACCCCCGTAGTTAATTGACAAGGGTCGGACTCAGACCCTCTCCAAGTCACCCTGTAGGTACGGTCTTTCAGGTATGAGGTGAGGAGGGAAAGTGCAGAGCCTGAAACTCCGTTTTTGGAGAGTGCGAAGGAGGATCTGATGATTCACCGTGTCGAATGCAGCAGACAGGTCCAACAGGATGATGACAGAGGAGAGGGATGCAGTTTTGGCAGTGTGCAGTTCCTCCGTGACAGCAATGAGAGCAGTTTCTGTGGAGTGACCTGCCTTGAAACCAGACTGGTGCGGATCCAGAAGGTTGTTCTGATTGAGATAACAGGAGAGTTGTTTAAAGACAGCGCGTTCAAGTGTTTTAGACAGGAACGGGAGGAGAGAGACAGGCCTGTAGTTTATAACATCAGACGGGTTGAGAGTGGGTTTCTTTAGGAGAGGGTTTACTCTTGCCTCCTTGAGACTGTTTGGAAAGTGACCAGAAGTTAGAGAAGTGTTGATGAAATGGGTGAGAAACGGTAGAATATCAGGAGCGATAGTCTGAAGGAGGTTTGAAGGGATAGGGTCCAGAGGACAGGTGGTAGGGCGGGCAGAGGTAATGAGGGTAAGAACCTCACTTGGAGAGAGAGGGGAAAAGGAGGTTAGTGTGTTGGTGGAAGGAGGGTCTGGTGACCCAGCGGTGAGTAAAGGTGAGTCAGAAAAAGAAGAGCGAATATCATCAACCTTTTTTTCAAAGTGGGTAACAAAGTCGCTTGACAGAAGTGAGGAGGGGGGAGGAGCTTTTGGAGGGTCCAAGAGGGTGGAGAAGATGGAAAATAGTTTTTTAGGATTGGAATAGGAAGATTGGATCTTATCTTGAAAGAAAGTGCTTTTTGCCTGAGAGATCGAAGCAGAGAAAGAGGAGAGGAGAGCTTGATAGGTTAGGAGGTCGTCACGGTGTTTGGATTTCCACCATTTCCGCTCTGCTGCCCTAAGGACGATTCTATTAGCACGCAGTGCATCATTTAGCCAGGGAGCCGGAGGGGACTGACGAGCCTGCCGAGATGTGAGAGGACAGAGAGAGTCCAGAGTGGATGAGAGAGTAGAGAGGAGAGTTTCTGCAGCAGAGTTTGGAGGCAGGAGTTGGAACAAGTCAGAGGAAGGGAGGGCTGAGAGCACCGACGAGGCAAAGGTAGAGGGAGAGAGGGAGCGAAGGTTATGGCGGACAAGTGTAGGATGGGAATATCACCACTCTGGAGGCTCTGTTGAGGAACAGACGCCTCTCGCTACTTGCTCTTAGAGAATTCTGTCAACTGTGGTAAAACTCGTGTGTAGTGTGTTGAGTAGCTTAGTTAGTGTTTAGAGTATAGCTTCTGATTTTGTGACTGTTGCCCTTAGTTTAGCTGTGTTGTGTATAGATTATTTGGTTAGTTGTACCACGAGTGAGGTTTTGTTTCGTTCTTTAGTTAGTATATTAGTATTTATTTTCCCTGTATGACTGAAGACTCACTTTTTAAGAGTCCTCCCTTTGTTTGGTTATTTGTCAACCTGTGCCCTTTTGGCCCTTTTGTTTGTTTCAGGCTGCCTGCCTGCCATTTTGTTTACCGCTGATATTTAAAATAAATCACTTATTATACCAATCCCATTCTGGTTGTGTTGCTTCCCTTTGATTCCCCTAGCTCAGAAGGGAACGTAATAGATATGCTTCTATGTTGCGGTGTGTGTGTTTTTTTGCTGGCTGCAGGTTTCATTTCTCTACTAAGAGTTTGCTTCTGCCAATCTCCTTATCGGGCCTTGAAGTTGAATTGAACCTAGGAGTAAACCTTCTGTGAATCGGTTAAAGTTCACTTAGAGAACCTCCGATTTAGATACTATAGATACTAAACCCATTATTAATAACCGCCTAACACAAGGGTAAGGTTACATAAAGGGATGCAATGGTATGGAATAAAAAGCAGCCAGTAGTTGTGGTCACTTCACACACAGCTGTATGTTTTATTCTGTTATTTGTTGTCCACTCTGATCAGGGCACTGTGGAGACTTTGTCTTTTTGAAGAAGGCTCCAGCAGGGAGTTTCTGCAGGGCCACCTTCATAAACATGTGCCTCTTTTTATTACAGTTCTTCAAATTCAGCCTTTGTTGTTCAAATCCTCATCGGGATGTTTGTGTGGCCAAGCTCCCACTCTCCTATGAACACCGTCGAGCCTGTTTGATTCTTCATTGTTCAGATAGAGTGTGTGGTGTCTTCTTCACCAGCAGCACAGGGTCTCCTTCAGGGACGCTCTCACACTGAGTCATCCAGCACATTGATTCATTGTTAGCTTCACATAAACATTATCACACCTTTAGAAGCGCTCCTCCCTGTATTGATTGCAATCATTTTCTCTTCCAGGATCACTGCTTCTACCACGGCCATGTGAGAGGACATCCAGAGTCCTGGGTGGCTCTCAGCACATGCTCAGGAATCAGGTAGGACACAATACTGTTACAGCGCTTCCTCTATCATGTCAGTGTAAGACTGCACTGATATGACCCTGACCAATAACAGTAGGTTACATACTTTATTTATTACTTCAAGTGATTAAGAATTTAAAATGATTCAGTTTAGTGTAAGACATTAAACTGAGGACACATCGCACTGTCTGTGGCACAAACCACGGCAATGTCCCTGTTTTACTGCTAAAGATCAAAATGCCTAAACTCCCAATGTCAGAGCTCTTCTTTTTTCTTCAGATTGTCATGAAAATATGTAATTTGATCCTCTTTGGGGATCCAGGCAGCAATTCTTTAAGTCTTACATTTTCACAGCCAATATTGAAGGCTCAGATTGAAGCCTTCTCCTCGCAGAGACGTACGTCCTGAGGATGTGAGTCCCAAAAAATATATTCAAGGATTTGATCCAATAAAAGAGACATCAAGTAACAGCTCAGTGGTGCTTTAGCAGGAATGAATTTCAAAGCCGGTTTGGTAAATCAAAACAGATAAAAGTTTCAGAAAGTTTTTTAGTGCATGGTAAGAACATCTTTATGTTTCTCTACCTGAGAGGCTGGTTCAGTGCTGACACTCCCTGGCACTCTGTGTCCCTCTGCCCTGATCTGGGCAGGGAGCCAGATGCTGCTTGTTAACAGCGGCTTTGATGGGAACAGAGCAGACGTGGGGGGGTAGAGATCTGTTGCTGAATTGAAATGCTTCCTAAATGTCCAGTCAATCACAGACCTGTCCCGCTGTGATCTTACCCACAACGTTTGTTCTTGGCCTCAAAAATAAACCAAATTGAATGGAGCATTTTGACTTTGATTCAAGGGTGTAGTAGTACATTAACAGATGGATGAATGTTATCCTTAGTGGCTGAGTACAAACACATTTTTCAGCCTTTTGTTCAACTCACAACATGAATCACCATATTGGAGTTTGATGTTGAATCAAACCATACATAAAGAGATATCCCATTCACATAGAAGGCTGTGCAGCATGGGGATACATCTCATAAAGGAAATAAACTGGATACTTCAAATGACTTATTTGAATCTGTGGCCCACAGTCTTTCGTTGTTATTTTTTTGATTTGGCCCATGCTATGCAGATCTCTACACATAAACTTTGCAGGAAAAAGCAAATCGATATTTAAAGACTAACCTATCACCATCTAAAGTCTTGTTCTGCTCAAGTGGGTTATTTTCTCTACATAGATATTTATCCCATCTTTTTTTCAATGACTGTTGATTTAAACAGATTTTAAAGAAGGATATATTCTGCTCATTTCCAGGTTCATATATGTACGTAGTGTCTCCATGCTTTAATGTTTATTGTTCTCATACTGCCTGTTCTGCAGCACCTCTTTTCACCCTCTGTCTGAAACCAGAGCCCAGTCTGCTCTGATTGGTTAGCTGGCCGGCTCTGTTGTGATTGGTCAACCGCGGAGCACAAGTGTTACATAGTGATGTCACTACATCATGGAAGTAAACAAAGGAGTCCAATGGAGGGATTTCAGGCAGGAGGGAAAACAGAAATTTGAGCTTTTGCAGACCATTCACATGCACTAACACCTATAGAACACTCTACAGGAAAAGGAAACTCCAAAAAGCAAAATAGGGCTCTTTACCTGAAAATAAAATCTTCATAATTCATAGTTATATGGTTCTATGGTGGTTAGGTCAATTCTTTAGTAACAAGATAAGCTTAACTTCGTAACCACTTGCAAATAAATTCAACCATGTCACTGTTTACATCAGTGAATGGTGATCTTAGGAAGTGAGATGTGTTTAAGGTCTCTGGAAATGTGCACGCTGAGTTAAAAGAGCACTTAGCAGACTCTCAATAGTAGAGCATACAAATGCAGAACCAGAGACATCAGTTTTGATTTCATGGGTTCTACTACATTATTCAAAACCTGCCGGTCAAAATGTCCGGTAATAATTAGGGATGTTCCGATCGATTGGCCGCCGGTCATTATCGGCCGATATTCACTCTTAATAGTTTGATCGGTGCTCTCTATAGAGGCCGATCAGGAGAGCAGGATCTGATCGATATGGACATAAACGTGAGTGAAGTGTAACCGGACGCGAGAGAGAGATCAGAGATCAGCTGCTGAGTCTGACAGAGGCACGCAGCTCTGCATGATCACCTGAAGCCCCGCCCTCTGTTTAGCGCGTTGCGTGAGAAACTGAGCCAATATTTCAAGGATGCTACGTCATCGAGTGCCGCCGAAGTACTGTTCCAATCTCCAGCATACTTGGAATTCCACCGAGGCCGCGTCCTTGGTTTGGGGGAAATGTCGAGGCTGCACATGCACGCGTCCTTAAAATCCCCACAATGCTTTGCGCACGGACCAATTTCAAAAACCCTTGCGGAGAATGGCTGAACCGACGCAGCACACACTTAAATGTAAGTATAGTGGCGTAGAACATGTGTTGGTAAATATGTTACTTTGTTACATTTGTTTTCCCCAAAAATGTGTTCCGTGAAAGTAAAGCAAGTTCATAATTAGATAGACATCGTGAGGTATTTATTTTTTGGTACAGTTTATGTTGAAACCGTTAGAGAGAGTGGCACACTTGTTAGCCTGTTCCATTCTTCTTCGTTTTCCGAAGCCGTGGCTTGGAAGTATACTTGATTCGTTTCTGAAGGAAGTGACTTGGAAGTACGCGACTACCAAGCCAGCATCCTCGAGATTGAGAAACGGCCACTGACCGGCTGTCAGGAGAGAGAGAGAAGGGAGAGAGGAAAAGAGAGGATCCGTTTCTCCCGTGTTATTATCCAAAGTTAATGTAAACTTTGAATAATGTACTTCATCTACTGCAAGTAGTTTGTTTGAATGTAATAATGATGTTGTTTGTTGAATCATTTATTGAAAAATGAATCTGAATTTTTTGATCTGTAACGATTATAAACTGAAGCAATATAAAAATGAGCCCCATGAACTGAGTTTTAAACATCAGCATATCCGGTCCTAATCCGGTGATTACCTGCTAACGGAAACTCTGCTACACAACTCTTATTATTATGTCCAACATGACCAGTAAGTTTCAAATTTGTCCGGTAAAATAGATTCTGTCCGGACATTTGACCGGCGAGAAAAAGTCCTAGCGGAAACCCTGCTACAGGGGTATTAGTAGGCTAACTTTCTAAAGCATCACCTCCATCATTTTATTTTCAAACCTGTAGTCTGCTGACAAAGGCTGACTCTAGGACATTTATCAGACTTCACCAAATGCTCCCTTTGAGACACAGCAGGCTTTACAACTTGATTCACATGTGCAGTAAGATTCATGGAAACACAATCTGATGTTTACAATTGTTTGGATTTAAAAATAGCTTTTATGCTGAAACTCTTGGTTTCTACAAACAAAACAAAAGTTTAGTTTGAACATCAAAACAGTGCTAGTTGTGCTCCACATCAACAGTCCCTTCAAACTGCTGCAAAGCATAGAGGACGGTAAAGGTTCCCCAACATTCGTACTGCAATAACACTTCTGTATTATTATTAGAATTGTATTATGATGTTTACATTCACATTGAATTCCCTTGAAAGAGGCCCTACTGTTCCCTCTCCAGTAGTGTGCTCTAGGTCTTTGTGCATGTCAATGGTCTGCAAAGGCTAAAATCCCTGTATTCCCTCCAGAGGGAGTTTATATGAATATCAGAATAATTTGAAAGGAAACATTCCGCACAACAAGGAAAGAGGTTTGGAGTGATTTAGCAAGAAAAAAGAATGTCCTTCTTGAAGCGTATTACTTTGCTCTTTGAACATGTCCTCTACAAGGCAACAGCATACAATATGAATCAACAACATCTTTCATGATCCTCATGACTCAACCGTTTGGCCCCGTCACACTCATTGTGAGAATGTGATTTAAGATTTGACTGGGAGAAAAATGATTGAATTCCTGGTATCTGGATAGGATGTGTTCATAAGGACAAAAGATTGAAATAAGAATATTTATTGTGCTTTAGCCTCCTTTATCAACGTCTGCATGTAATCAACAACTGACTGCCAATCAAATAAAGAAAGTACATTTCATAAACAACAATATTTATTGTTAATTAACATAGAACTACAGATATAAATACTGTGGATATGTGTAATGTTCCTCTCGGGCTGCATTTACAAATAAAATAGAGAAAATAAATAAAATAGCTTTTGAAAATATGTGCATCTTAAAAGTGCTTAATTTTAGATAAATAAAATAAAGTGTAGCAGCAGCTTGAGTTTCTCTTTTTCTTTGTTAACCGTTTCACATCATGACTTAACTGTTTCAGACGATTATAGAACAATATCAGTCTTTACATATCATAACAATTGAACAGTTTTAAAGTTTCTCTTTCTTTCCCTCTTGTATTGCAGTCCCTCACTCACTTTGTTTAAATTCAGTGTGAGAATTGAGCTGGAGCTTGTCCTGCCAGGAGTTTAGATCTGGGCTGAAATAGTGTCAGGGCCATTCTCATACACATGCAGATGCTCATTGGTTAGCCTCGGTTAGCTCATTGGTTAGCCTCGGTTAGCTCATTGGTTAGCCTGCCCTGGAACCATATTTAGTTTTAATTTTGATCCTGGTGGACTGATCATATTGGGCTCTGAGACTGCTTATTTTTTGTGACCTCAGTTCTGACTTGAGAGGGAATGTTTGGTCAAACACTTTGTGTTTTGTCTCAGTTACGACCCGCCCTCTACTTAGTGGTAGAGACTCGTTGGGGAGACCCGCAACATACAATACAACACAGCAAACACGCAGCATTTAACGGTGTTCATTTATTGTGATACATCCGTACTTACATGGCCAACCGGCAAATGAAGAATGCGCTGGAGGACAGGAAACAAACAAAAGGACAAAGGGGGCCTGGGCCAGCCAGTCCTACGGCACACCACGGGCCGTAGGACCCAGAGCTTCCCTCCGCTACCCAGAAACCTAACCAATCCCTGCGGGAGGAAACAAAGCCGCGAAAACCTAGCCTACCTGTTCCTCCAGAGTA